GGTGACGAGCCGAAATGGCGGACCTGCTTCCCTGAAGAAAAAAAAGGAAAACAAAAACGGCCCCTCTCCCTTGGCCTCCCACCTTTTCTTTTGGGGAGGCGGAGAGAAGGGCCGATATGGCAAAGCCTGCCCCTCCCCTCCTCGCAAAAGGGGCTGATGTGGAGAGATGTCAACTTTTGGGGGAAAAAATGGGGGTTTGGCCCTCTCCGAACCTGGGGAGGATTGTCACAGAACTGCCCCTGTCCCTGCGCAGAACTTGTGCCTCGCTTTGGGCATCTTCCGACAGGGTACATGCTTTTCACAAGGAGAGGAAGGGGAAATAATACGTTAGAGCAGGGATCAGGGAACTTTTTTTTTCCTCCCCCCCCCCAAATTTTATATTCGCCAACATTGCCCCCTTGATTTGAAAGGAAGGAAATCGTACATTATTTGAATTCAAAATCTTATTGAATCTATTCAAAATTACTTTGAAAGCTTCAACTTACTTGAAAACTTCAGGTTTTGGAGAAATTATGTTGCTTCATCTTGGATATGGGAGCATCAATATTGGGGTTCTGCTCATCCTCATTACCCCCCAGAATTTTCATTTTTTAACCCATTTGGGGTAATTTACCCCTGTTCCCTGACCCGTTACCCACCAACTCAAGAAAATGGACAAGGCTAAAGCCAGTACATTTAGATCCAACAGGAGCAGACCCACCAGATCGATGTGTTTACTTGGAAAAGATCTATTTAATCAGAGGGTCTATTCCAGTCCAGACTAACAGCTGGATTTTATTTTATTTATACCACACATTCTGCTTTGTAGGAAGGACCCAGATGGGTTGCTTATAACCAGATCAATTTGCTTGGGTACCTCACACTATAATCAAAGTGTTTATTTTTTTCAGGTCAATCAAAAACGAAATGAAAAAATAAAGAAGGTAAAAACTTTGTGGCACCTTAAAGATTAAGTGCTGCATTGTAATACAAGCTTTGGCAGACAGGTCCACTTCTTCGGACATGTCTTCAAGGCATGTCAGGCATGTTAGTCCTTAAGGTGGCACTACATTTTTGTCCTTTGTTGTTGTTTTTGCCTGATGTGCTAGCACAGTCTCACACAACTACCCTAAAACTACATTTTTAATGCACCACAGGGCTGCCTCTTGGGAAAGAGATGGATGAAATACCTGTTGTCTTGTTCCCAGAGGGAGGGACGCAAACCAGCAGATTCAAATTGCAAAAATTGAGGTTTAAATGATTCACATGGGAAGTGATTCCTGATGGGGTATGAGGAGGCGGTGCAGGCCAGGAATAAATAAAACAGAACATTACTCAAGTTAGATTTTTGTTTGTTTGAAACACATGCTAATCTTTTAAGTAATGTGGGTTTCCTGCATCAGCAAATGGATATGAGGAGATGATCTTTGAGTTGCAGAAACCACTTGTAAGAGTGTGCCTGGAGCAGTTTTTGGAGTCCTTGGCCTTCAAATCCATTGAGGAATCAAGACGGGGCCTTCTTAGTGGTGGCCTGCAGGAGGATAGTGAAAATCTTCCTCTTTTGCCATCTTTTGATGGATGGTAAAAACTTCTTCATTCAGGGAGTTTAATTGGCAACTGGAAGTCTCACAAAGATTTTTGTGTCTTGTGTCACTTGTATTTTTGTTGCTTTTAATTTTTCTGAAAAAAATTGTGATATTTATATAGCCTTTTAAATTTTCCTGTTTTAGCTGTGGTGAGTCGTCTTGTGTTCCCCTGTGGTGAGAAAAGGGGCATATAAATAATTTTAACCAGTCAGTCAATCAATCAGTTTTAGTAATGCTTTTACCTAACATTTAAAAAAATGTTTTACTCTTTTAAAATATTTGAGTAATTTATTGTTTTTAAGCTTGTATTGTGTTTTTAATGATGAAAGCGGCGGTGGCTCTTTCTTAAGGAGAAAGATAAGCTTTTTATATATTCATTTAAAACATTATTCATTTAAAACATTCATTTAAAACATTATTCATTTAAAAATATTTTAAATGAATAATGTTTTAAATGAATAATTTAAAAAAGAATGTGCCTGTCTGTGGCCTGCCAAGGACCCTAAGGCCAACTGAGAGAAACATATGTATTGGGATATGTGTGTGTGTTTCTATATGTGGCCGTTTGTCCAATGTCTACATCTGTCTACCTGTTCAGACAGCAGTGGTGGTATTTGCATTGGGAATCTTGGGGTAATCGTTCCTTACACCCCAAAAATGAAACCGGAAATACTCATCCTGTTTTTGTTCCAGACCCTCCTTTTTCTGAAGGTAGCTGGTTGGAAACAGGATGTTGGACTGATTCAATAGGTTTGTCCCTTACATGCTTTTAAACTATTTTTGCAGTTAACTTTTGCTGCTTACAGATGCTATTAAGATCCTTACTTTAAAACAATATTTTCAAGTCACACCTTTATTAAAAGGTGGCCTGTGCATTCAGTGAAAAGAATATATACTGTATTTTTCCGTGTATAAGACTATACTTTTGACTAAAATCTTTAGACTAAAAATTGAAGTAAGCTGAGGAGAGAACAAAAACAAGTGGAAGGGAAAGCAGGGATCAAAGCGATCCTGCAGCGCTTTGATCCCTTTCCCCCTACACTTGCTAAGCCCCGCTTAGATTTCTTAATTTTGGATTAGAAAGTGGGGTTGTGTTATACATGGGGCGTCTTATACACGGAAAAAATATGATATACAGTCACTGGTTGTACTGTATACAGTATATATACTGTACTGTATATTGAAAGAGACCGAAGGAGAATACTTCAGTGATTTATTTGTTATTTGTTTTATTTATTAGCTCCACCACAGGTTCCTTAGCTGTGGATTGCTGCTTTGGGAAGGAGTTGGACTCAATAGGGTTCCTTCCAGCTCAACACTGCTATATGGTTCTGTGTAGGCCTTCTTTCATCCAGTGAGCCCAAGACTGTATTAATCCCCATTTCATCATCACAACAGCAGCTCTGCGCAGTTGGTCAGGCTGAGAGTGACTTGCCCTCATGGTCACTTCAATGAGGACTAGCAGCTCAATCCCTTTAGTTTTAGTCTCATGCTCTGACTACTACCCTTCATTATCTCCTTTTAGGAGGTGCTTCATTTCCTTTTGGGGGGGGGTCAGGGCGTTAGTTTTAGTCTCATGCTCTGACTACTACCCTTCATTATCTCCATTTAGGAGGTGCTCCATTTCCTTTGGGGGGGGCAGGGCCCGTCTCTTCTGCCTTTTCACAAAACCCGACTTTCCGTTCCTAATTCAGGAGCCGGATCCAGAAACCAAAATGGAGGAACAGGAGCCCGCTGGACCCGAAGCGCACAAGCGTTTGGAGGAGGGAGAGCGAGACCTCCACGTCATCCAAATCGGAGCCTCCGGGGAGCTGTTGGAAGGCTCCGTGGCCCCCCAGCAGTTTAAACGGGAGCCGGAAGACCAGTGCTGGGAGACCCAATTGCAGGACTTTCTGAAGACCATGCAGCCCAGCCGGTCAGCATGGAGGCGCTCGCCGCCCCCTCCCTACACGGCAGGCGAAGACACCAAGTATTTCCAGAGCTCCTTCAAGGGTGGAGAGGAAGGCGGTCGGTGGCCTAAGGTGCAGTGCGCCCAGAGCACGTCGGCCGTCGGCAGAGACGACAGCAAAGGCTACGAGAGCGGCCGGGATTCGCCTGTGAAAGTCAAGGAGGAAGTCCTGGACGAGGATCCGGCCAACGCTGAGATGCGGAGGCAGCGGTTTCGTCTCTTCTGCTACGAGGAGGCCGAGGGACCCCGAGAGGCTTGCAACAAGCTCTGGGAACTCTGCCACCAGTGGCTGCAGCCAGAGACCCACACCAAAGAGCAGATCCTGGAATTCTTGATCCTGGAGCAGTTCCTGACCGTCCTGCCCCCGGAGATGCAGAGCTGGGTCCGGGAGCACAGCCCCGAGACCTGCACTCGGGCCGTTGCCCTGGCGGAACGTTTCCTTCAGGATTCTGAGGAGCCCGAACAGAAGGTGAAGGTTCCGGCTTTGCAGGGGTGGGTGGGAATAACATGTTACAAATCAGGTTCCTTGGTAGTTGATTCCATTTGCTTTTTTCATCCCAAGGGTACGTGGCTGCACGAGTTAGGTGTGTTACGTGGCACAGGCCAACAGATCTTAAGCGTTCTTGGGTATTGTTTTTGAAAGATGATGTTCTAGTTGTTGTTGTTTTTTTTACAGGGAACCAGTCAACGTTTCTAGAGTGGTCGAAATGACCAGATAGGTGGGGTATAAATTGAATGAATGAATGAATGAATGAATGAATGAATGAATGAATG